ATATATGTCCAGAAGTGGTGGCTGGATCATTTAGTGATTCTGTTTCCAATGATTGAAAATCCTACACATTAGTTTACCCACGAGCTGAGACCGTTTTCGCTCCCATCGACAGTAAATAAGTGTTCTTTTCCCACATTCACACCAGCGTCTGCTTTCATTCATTTTAACTTAGCCACTCTGAGTGGTGGAAGACGAAATCTTAAAAGAGTTTTAATTTGAATTCCGATGATAGCTCAGGATGTTGAATGTTTAAAAAAAGTCACAATCATTTGTATTTTATCTTCTGAAAACTCTCTGTTCTCTGACCCAATTTTAATTGGGTTGTTTTTCCTTTTTTATTTTATTTTATTCTTTTTGAAAAAAGAAAGCAAACTATCTTTTCTCATTTTACATACCAATCCCAGTTCCCACTCCCTCCCCTCCTCCCATTCCTTTCACCTTCTTCCCCATACCACCCTCCATCCACTCCTCAGAGAGGGTAAGGCACATTGCTTTGAGGAAGGTGCAAGGCCCTCCCTACTTATCTTGGGTTGTTTTTCTTGATGTTTAGTTTTTTAGTTATTTATATGTTCTAGGTATTCACCCTCTCAGATGTACTGTGTATAATGATTTCTTACCTATTTTGTGATACCCTTTTCTGTACAGATATTTCACTAAGTAACATGAAAGCCCATTTATTAATTGCTGATCTTGATGGTTGTAGCACTGGGGTCCTGTTTGGATAGTTCTTTCCTCTCGAGTGAATTCAAGCCTATTTTCTACTTTTTCCTTTGACCAGTGAAGGCATTAGTTTTTATTTTGAGGTTTGTGGAGTTTGGAGTTGAGTTATATGCACTGTGAGAGGTGAGGAGTGGATTTTATGCTTCTACATAGAGCTGTCCAGTTTGACCAGCAGCATTTGTTGGAGAAACTCATTTTTCTCTGTGCTCACTGTTTGCTCCTTTGTTGAAGATGGGGTTGCAGTAGGAGGGTAGGTTTGTATGTGAATTCTAAGTTCTACTCTATTAACCACTGAGTGCCATATCATGATATGCGGATTGCTATAGATTTGTAGTATGATTTTAAACCATTGCAAAAGAGGGAGAAGTAAAGTTACAAGAGCCAGGTGGTGGATAGCTATAAGGAAACAGAGTGTTTTGGACCTAGCAGGGCAGCTATATATATGAGTTCACAGCAGCTGTGAGAACATAAACGAGACCTGTGCAAACCCAATCAGATAAATCCCTTCATGAAGAGAGGGGTTTGGTATAAAGTCCCACACCTAGCCAAGGAGCTATTGAGAATTGTTAGCTTCTGGGAGAGGGAGAGTCAGTTTTCTAAGGATGTAGTCCCTGAAAAGTCCACCATGCTCCAGTTCAAAGTCATACAATCAAGAGAATCTGGACAACACAACTTGGCATTGATGGGAAAAAAGGGATAAAAACACAAAACTGGGTGAATAGGAAAGGGGGTGTGGGTCTGGGAAGAGCTGTGGAAGGGTGAATATGATCAAAACAAGCAATATGAAATTCTCAAAGGAATAATACATATTACTTATTTACTATCATAATTAACTATAATAATTGTTAGTTTGTTATAATAATGACTGTAAATATATAAGGCTATCAATTACAAATTACTTTTAATTTGTTAGTTCCATATGTTATAAAAATACTAAAGAAAACCCAAGTTATAGGCCCTAGACCAGAAACTACTATTAAACCAGCTCCTACTTATGTCTCAGTTGTAACCATTGATTAATGCATCTCTCAAATCTCATCAGAGAGTCTGTGTGTGTGTGTATGCTCGTGTATGTGTGTCTGTGCGCACACGTGTGTGCGTGTGTGTTAGACGGTAATTAACATAGAGATCCATGAGTGCTTAAAATTCAGAGAATAGAGACCCACATTGGAGCACCGACTGAAATCTCAAGGTCCAAATCAGGAGCACCAGGAGAGAGAGCACGTCACGTACAAGGAACTCAGGACCGCAAGGGGGACACCCACACACTGAGACAATGGGGATGTTCTATCGGGAATTCACCAAGGCCAGCTGGCCTGGGTCTGAAAAAGCCTGGGTTAAAACCGGTCTCGCTGAACATAGTGGACAATGAGGACTACTGAGACCTCAAGAACAATGACAATGGGTTTTTGATTCTACTGTACCTATTGGTTTCGTGGGAGCCTAGGCAGTTTAGTGGATGCTCACCTTACTAGACCTGGATGGAGGTGGGTGGTCCTTGGACTTCCCACAGGGCAGGGAACCCAGATTGCTCTTTGGGCTGACGAGGGAGGGGGACTTGATTGGGGGAGGGGGAGGGAAAGGGGAGGCAGTGGTGGGGAAGAGACAGAAATCTTTAATTAATTAATAAAGAAATAAATAAATTAAAAAAAGAAGAAATTATAAAACGATCACCCCTAGATTGGGGTATCTGTATCATATCTCCTCCTACATAGGGTCAGAGATCATGTGGAAGAGAGTACAGAAAGATTAAAATAAGTAGGGGGATCAAATTAATCCCAGGAAATAGTGTTTTCTGGACGCAATAGAGCAGTTGCACAATACTGACTCCAGCAGTTGTGACCCCTTAGCTGGTGAGCTATTGGTAATTGATAGTTTATTGGAAGGGAATAATTAGTTTTCTGTGAGGGTGCGGCTCCAAGTAGGCCTAAGGAGTTAGGATGATCCCACACCTAACAGTATAAAGGCAACATTTGGTAAGGATACAAAGTTGGGTGGGTAAGCAAGGGTGAGTAAATCTGGAAGGGGATGGGAAGATGATGACGGTGATAAGTATACAATGTATGATATCTCAAAAAACAGACTCCTTACTGTATCTACTATTATGTCGGCATTGGATGAAACCAAAGATTACAGTGGGAACTTGTGAGGCAGTGCCTGGTAGCCCAGGTGTTTCTCCTCATCACCCGCTTCCTTCCAACATTCAAAGTAAAAATCAACCAAGGCTCCTAGCACTGCTCTTTAGGCCAATATTAAATTAAATAGCTAATGATTTCTCCCATTTTCTTATACATCTTATTTTTTAGTTAATATATGTCTGTCATCATTCTATCAAGTATATACCCAAAAAAACCTATATTATTAAAATAGAGAGATTAGTAAAACAGTTAATCTGGAAAAGTGAAAAATGCACAGAAAAGAGATAAAATGCAGAAATGAGAGGAAATAAACTCTGCTTCTAAAGAACCTTACTTTTTTTTTCCAGTTGTAAAACCTTTTCCATTGTCTAGTCTGAGGCAGTGAGCTGCTAACATTTGTAGTTTTATTGCATGTTGTTCTAAATGAGACAGGTTCAGAAAGAAACATGACTCCAGCTTAATATAATAACTAATAAAACTTCAGCCCAACTGAGACAGTCCCTACCAGGGTGGAGAGAAAATATGTTTGCATTCAAAACAGTCTCTGGTGTTCACAACAACCTAAAAGTTAGAATAGATTCTGTGTACTGAAAGTTTCCTTACTAAGATAAATCAAACCCATCCTTATAGATTTCAACTTGCAGAACAGGGGCTTCATCCATCTGGCACAATAAAGTTATATGTAGGACATAAGGAAATTCCACCAAATATGTGTAGCAGAGATACGTCCTATTGCCCAATGGTTGCTGTAACCTAATAAAGGGTGGTTTTGTATGAAAGATCACAATCGTGCTTTAGCTGTTAATATGAAGATCTGGCTAGTCTAAACAGTTCCTTAAAATGGAGTGCATTTGTTTAAACATTATGTGTATATCTTGTTGCATATTTCCTATTATTTTACAAAATTATTGGAAAATTAGATGTATTGGAAAATATTAGGAATACTATTCTAATTTTCCTCAATTTAAAGACAGTGAATATAGTGCTAAGAGCTAAGAAAGTAGCTTTATAGTACACATATCAATAGCAGTGTTAGGTATTTTTTTAATCAATGAATTGGAAATGCATCTACAGGACAGGTGATGTGCAGATTTATGAGGCAAAATGTCCTCTTGCAAGCAATCAACAGGTGGGTAAATAAAGGTGGAACCTTGGGTAGCTCAATGTCAGCAGAAAGATGCTGAGATTTGTAGATGCCACCAGCATTTTGGAATTGTGCTGTCCCATCCCAATGACCAATATTTCCTACCTTGGGAGGATCAGCATAGTAAAAAATAATGACCTGCAAAAGTGAGAAGAAAAAGAGAGATAGCAGGAGTTTAGCAGAGGAAAAGCGCTTTTGGAGGGACAATGGGAAATACAAAGTTAATTTCTGTTTTTGATCAGAGATCACACAGAGAGGAGGCTCTGTCCAGAATTATGGCTGTCTGAATCAGCAACCAATTCACTGCCTCCCTGCAGGAATGAAGACCCTTCTCTGTCCCTTTGTCTTTCCTTCCAGGCAGTTTTTCTTAAATTCCCTACACCTGTTGTGGTTTCATTCTTTCCTGAATCTGAGTCATCAACACTTACTAGGGAAATAAACTTAGCTCATATACTTCCATCCTTGGTACAGGCCCACGTCTCAGAAGATGCTACTCAGCATGGCTTTGGAGAGACACCAGAAGCCAAAAAACCATCCATGATTGTAGCGAGTGCCCTGCACAAACTCCTCCCTCTAAACAGTGTGAAGCTTCTACACAGGGAGGAGGGAAAAGCAAGCAGGGGAAAGGAGAGAAGCCTGACTTCCCAAATGTTGGCATGCTAACCTGGTTATGTTATCAAGCTCTTTCATTCCGAAGAATCAGCCAGACAGTGGTGGCCCTGGCCTTTAATATCAGCGCTCAAGAGGCAGAGGCAGGTGGTTCTCTGAATTCAAGGACAGCCTAGCCTAGTCTATAGAGTAAGTTTCAGGACAGCCACGCTGTTACACCGAGAAACCCTGTCTTAAACAAAGAAACAAACAAAAATAAGAACAAACAGGGTATGAAGAATCAAATACATAAATTCCTGGGTTGACTCCAAAATGGCGGCTTCCCCAGCTATGGGACAGACATTGTTGAAGACCCTGAAGCATCCATCTGTCTGTCTGTCTTTGTCAAGGCCTTCTGATCATTCATACGATCTTCACTGCAGTAATAACTCCTTCAGTATTTTAGCCAACCTCACTTCTCCAGCTTCCAGATCTAACAAAGAAATGTGGGGAAGGGGAGGGAAATGGGATGGCAGAGTTCCATCATGCTTGGTTGGTTAGACCTTCTGCATTGGTGACATGGTAAAGACAGGAGGATTGTTTTCAAGAGGTAAGTGTATAGGTGCTACTTTGATAAAATAGTAAACCACTTATGATGTAAAAATATCAGCATAACTTCAAATACTGGGGAGGAAAAACATGTAATGTTTCAAAGACACACAGGCCCATTACAGAGAGGATAGAACAGCAACCTGACTGGATTTTCAATCCCACCCTCCATAAACTTTCTGGTGAATTACCTTGCCTGATCTAAAAAGTGAAATAACAGAATAACATTTATTAATCTTCATAGAATAAATATAAAGTGATTAGCTTTATTTCTGGTCACTATTGTCAATCAAAGGAGGTCAGGAAGAAAGAAATATTGTGCTATATTAAGTTTTCAATAAGCTATTTTAATAAGAAAAACACGTGGAAGGAGTTGTCATTAACTAGCTAAACATTTCTTCTCTGAAATATGTGTATCTTTGCTGAGTACATGGAATATGGGCTTAGTCAAATCAAATCAGACCATGTAATTCAGGTCCCCAGAAATTTCATTGCCTGTCATTTCCAATTGTGCTTCACAGAAGCCGCCTTGAAGGGGCTCCTTCCTCTGTGCAGCCCACACATCACAGCCCACACAACGCAGCCCACACAGCATAGCACATACATCAGCACACAACATCGCATCACACACATCACAGCACACACAGCATAGTACACACATCGCAGCCCACACATCACAGCCCACACATCGCAGCCCACACAGCATAGCACACACATCGCAGCCTGCACATCACAGCACACACATCACAGCAAACACAGCATAGCACACACATCATAGCCCACACCGCATAGCACACACATCATAGCCTACACCGCATAGCACACATATCACAGCACACACATCACAGCACACACAGCCTAGCACACACATCACAGCCTACACATCACAGCCCACACAATGCACCCACACAGCATAGCACACACAATACAGCACACACATCACAGCACACACATCACAGCATACACATCTCAGCACACACATCTCAGCACACACATCACAGCACACACGTCTCAGCACACACATCACAGCACACATGTTGCAGAGTGCTGGCACCACAGCGCTGACATTGCTCATGGATCCTGAACTCTGATTTAGAAATAGCACACGTGTGTTTTTGAGGTCATACATGAAATTGCCTGTGAACAGAATGTGCAAGCCTTCTCTCCTCTATCAACTTGAGTTACATGTCCTGTCCCTTCCAGCACAGGTGAATGGAGCTGGAGAAAGATCAGATCAGGTCACAACCCCATCCTGCTGTGCACACAGTTGTCTGGGGATGGACTATTGGTGTTTACACTTTCTTGATGCAAAAAGGAAAAACAAAAGCGAGCCTCCCTTCTTCACTCTACGAATTGTGGAAGCAAGATTACCTCACTTCTGTGTACAAGTAGCACCTTTGATTAAGTCTGCAGAGTGCCCAGACCGCAGACAGTCTCCCATGGTCACACTGCTCTATTTATTTTGACATTTTCTCAATGGCCAAGAGCATCAGCAAGAAGATTACCACATCTCTCCCTTTCTGTTTTCCCCCACCCAGATGTTGATTTTAAGTTTTTTCATGATGCCATCTCTATCAGATGTAGACTCTCTTATAGTTTTCTGGAAGATCTTTCTCTCTACATCCTCAATGGAACAGTGCTCCTATTTCAGACTTGGTAAGTTTATGTCCCTCCCACTTCCTCACCTCTCTGAAAAGCAGGATGTCTTTCCTACAATATGCTTCTCCATCAACTTGCAGCGTAAATCCTGATAAACACTATTTATCGCATGTCCTTAACATGTTTAAATGTTACTGAACGGGGGAAGGCCCTAAGTTATCTCCGAATTTATTATTTGACACTATCTTCTCAGGATTGTGAGAATTTGCTAGCTTTGTGGGAGAACATACCTCTTTCAGAAGGAACACAGACCTACGATTCCTGATTTCTTCCTCAGCAAATGTAT